CGGAAACAAGCCACAACACAACAAAATTATCACAACACAACGGAAACAAGCCACAGCACAACGGAAACAAGCCACAACACAGCGGAAACAAGCCACAACACAACAAAATTAGCACAACACAATGGAAAGAAGCAGCAACACAACAGAAACAAGTCGCAACACAACCAAATTAGCACAACACATCAGAAACAAGCAGCAACACAACAAAAACAAGCCGCAAAACAATGAAATTAGCACAACACAACGGAAACAAGCCACAACACAACGAAATTAGCACAACACAACGGAAAGAAGCAGCAACCCAACGGAAACAGATCGCAACACAACGGAAACAAGCCTCAACACAACGGAAACAAGCCACAACACAACGGAAACAAGCCACAACACAACGGAAACAAGCCACAACACAAAGGAAACAAGCCACAACACAACGAAATTAGCACAACACAATGGAAAGAAGCAGCAACACAACAAAATGACCACAGCACAACGGAAACAAGTCGCAACACAACTAAATTAGCACAACACAACAGAAACAAGCCACAACACAACGAAATGATCACAACACAATGGAAACAAGTCACAACACAACTAAATTAGCTCAACACAACTAAAACAAGCCATAACACAACGGAAACAAGCTGCAACACAGCGAAATTAGCACAACACAGCTAAATTAGTCCTATACGTTGTGTTGTGGCAATTTCCCTCCTTTTCCGTGTAGAAATGTTCAACCTGTTGTCCATGAGAGCATTAAATACACATGCTGAAGCTAGACGTATCATAAACTGAGACATGTTATGACTCGAACCACTGGTTTAGCGCATATGTAACTGCAATATGATGTTATCAGACGTACTCATGTGTTAAATCCCCCAGCAATATCATCCTGATAAGAATCACTGGTCCGTGTGCTTAAGTCAAAGGCAAGATGTTACTCCATTTTGTTTAAATTTTCTTCCTTGCCATGTAGCAAATCCCACTTTAATGCAAATAAAAACTATCAGATGATGTATGTTTCGAACATCTGTGCCAAAAGATCTGCCTCGTGATGCATTTTATTCTTTTTTGTTTTTCTTACCCCCCGTACTCTGCTGTGTTGTCTGTGTAAAAAGCACTTCAAATAGCACTGCAAGAGTCCTACGCTTGATTTGGCTCCTTTTCCACTGCACATCTCCGTCTTATACACAGTTGACATCAAACGTATCTCCTGTCCAAGCATCAAAGAATGGGATGGTTTGTTTCTGTCCCTCTTGCCCTTTCCCTGTTCCTGGAGCTGGTGTTTATGCTGGGATTTTCATTAGCAAACACATGCTAGACGTGCTAATCCCCTATGGTTTGATTTTTGCCTCGTTCTGATGGGGCCCAGCTGTATCACTGTGGTGTATTTGTGCGAGGAGCGAACTTTGAAAACAAAGTTTGTCAGGGAGATGAATCTTGATGCTGACAGGAAGCTGGCACTGATCTGGGTGTCTTAAGCTTGATGGTGGCCCACAGTTATTTGTTCAAAGTGACGATACTCCACCACAATTAAATGCATTGGAAAAGTTTTAAATCAAACCCAGCATTGCGAACGGATACACAGTCAGTGGTATGTTTGCGATACAGCTAAACATTAGATTAAGCTAAATGAATTTAATTTGGCCCAGGTGTAGTGTGTTTTATATATATAGTATGTATATATATATATATATATATATATATATGAAAAAAGTAATTATGTACATACATAGTTGAGTAGTTAATATAATGTAATATAATAAATATAATAATTTTACAGTATTTAAAACTAACATAATGTTTGTGTTTGAATGTATATATATATAATATATAATTGTTGACTAGTTAATATAATGTGATTATAATATAATAAATATAATAGTTTTACAGTATTTAAAACTAATAAAAACTAGTATTTAAATAATTAGAATTATAATCCATAGAATTGGATTTATTTATATTATTTTATTTTATATTTATATAAAATATTTGTAGATATTTTATTAATATTTTTATATTTAGATCATTCTTTAATGTCATACAAATATACATAATTATGTATAACTAATAATATATACCTATTTTAGATTTTGTTTCCCAATCTTATGAAGATATTTTTAAAGCAAGTTTTTATATTATACATTTTTATATTAATTTTATATTATGTTTAATTAGTTTAGTTGTTATATTTTATAATATTAAGAGGGTTATTATAATTATAAAATAGGGCTGTTAATTGGTTAAGAACTGTAATCAAATCAGTTACTCCGTATATGATGATTGGTTAATTAATGTAAATGCACTTAATTGCATTTTTCAATATTTGCTGAGAAAAATGAATCGATTGAAATGTAAATAATTTTTTATACATTTAATGTGATACATTTTTTTTACTTGACAAATTAAAGTTTTGAAATGGCATTCCTATGATAACATAAAGAACATGATCTGTTTGTGCAGAATATAATAGAAATATTAACCAAGTCAGTGCAGCCATTTATTTCTTCTCTTGACCAGACACAAGATGTTTGTATATGTCAGAGTTCCTGTTTCCTGGAACTGTAAACGCCAATCACACATTGTGCTTCTTGCAAACCGTGTTGTTAACATTGTCTTTAAAACACACTTCACAGCGGAATGCCCCGTGGATCTGGCCCATCAGACCACTTGAAGACTGAACATAAACACACGTTCTTGGAGTGAGATTCCTTCAGTCTGCTGTTGCACTCATTCATCTTCTCTTCAGGATTCTCAGTTTTATGCAGTAACAATTATTTATTTTAAATATATGATCAGCATTTAGTCCAAGAAATTTCTTGTGCTAAGAAGTTCTCTGGAAGCAGACTTTCACACATTGTAACCAGCTGTCCAGGCATTTTTCCCATGGAACAACTCACACTTTTCCCAAGTCTCTATGATCAGAAATATAGTGTTTTTAGAAACTGTTCATTCTAAAATGAAATGTAATTATTTATGAAACCAAAAACACTAGCAAAAATTAAATTCTAAAAAAAAAAAAAAAATCTAAAACTAATCCATTGAAAAAGCAGTTTCTGTATGTTCTGCAAGTAAAAAAGTATTTAAAATGGCCTGGATATGTATATAGGTCAGGCATAACATGATCAAAGTGGCCCAGCATAGTGTCCAAAATCCTTGCACACACACACACACACACACACACACACACACTCCTTTGGGTGTTGCTGAGTGGAGTTTGACGTGCAGAGGTGTTCTCAGAAACCCCAAACGGGGCCAGAGCTCGCCTCTAAATCACTCTATCACTCGCCATTCAAGCGCTTGAGAAAGCATAGATTGTGAACCATTCATGAGGATGAAGATCAAAATCTAAAACCACTGCTGTTATCGAGTAAAAGTGAGCACAAACTACCAGCCAAGTCTGAGGATCCAGTTTGTACTTTTCCCACAAAATGTTTTCCAAGGTTAGAACCGCAGTGCAGTACATGCTGTAAATTGCATCACATAATATTTAATACTCCCTTCCCTCCGTCTCTCGTCTCATGCAGGTGCAGTACTCAGATCGGCAAACTGACAACGAGTTCATGACCTACCTGACCCTCTCACCTGTGCAGATGACCTTCCACGGCATTGGGAGCTCCATTTCAGCTAGCCATGACCAGGTTATCTATCTATCTATCTATCTATCTATCTATCTATCTATCTATCTATCGTATATATGTCTACCCATGTCTGTCCCTCTGTCTGTCCGTCCATCTATCTATCTATCTATCTATCTATCTATCTATCTATCTATCTATCTATCTATC